ACACCAGATAATTTTGCTATCCCATTTCCTAGTAGTAATTCTGAGAAGCTGGAGAGTTTTATGCAAGGAGTAAGTCTGCACTGTGAGGTGGGAGACTAAGCATCAAACCAAGTGTGTGCCATCCTTTAATTCCATGACAAATTAAATGTAACCAGAGTGAAGAGTGAAAACAACAGTGAAAAACTATAGCACTTCATGAGGTAGAAAACATTGTGACCTTAATTCTGAAAGTAAGGAAACTACTGCAACTTCATTACGCTGCAACTATGCATTATTGTCAAACATAATCCATCCCATAATCTTCTTACCCGGCTCTGGGGAGTGCATACATAGCAACATCGTCCCACAAACGGCCTTTTCCTGCTCAGCAAGGCCTCCTTCCATCTTAAAGTGGCAGATCGGAACAGAGTGGGACGAGAGTTACACTCTCCCTGCAGAACAAAGACCACTGTGTAAATATGCAGAAATATGTGTTCTGCTGTGTATGGGAAAGATTTGAGGGAGAGGAGCTGCCAGACACACACAAAAAGTTGCCCCTCAATTATGTAAAGTATAATTTTTCCAACATTTCTCTAAATTTTAAAAAAATAAAAGCAAAACCTCAGTGTCGTACTTATGTAAGCACTGATGCATGGGTTGACACACAAAATTTTAAAAGGAATGAAACTGTAATTAAGAAACACCAAAGAAACTACCAGCTGAGAAAACTGAAAGAAATTAACAGTACACTACATTCTCAAGAATGTAAAGGTGCTTGCAATATGAACAATGTATTTTAAAGTTCAACTGACTATCACCCTGTAAAGCTGCAAGAAGACTCAATGTACCAAAAATATCAACTCCATAGACTCTGTAGGCACTTGCAGCAGTTTCAAGCAGTGACATGAAAAAGGAGCTCCTGTGCCTTCTCCAAAGTTACACTGTCTATCTGAAGATTACAGAACAAAAAATATCCAGAGTGACTGCATTCACAGAACTCATTCTCTATGTTAGGACATAATGCAAAAATTGTAGTTAAGTATAGTTCCAAAGACCCTGGTTATTTCCATTAAAGTCTACTGAATTATTGCTTGCTTGAGAATGAGAACTGGGTTGCCATTTTTAAACCACGTATTTTATTGAGAAGAAAGTTACTTCCAGTATTAAAAGAGAAGTTACAGAAACAAACCAAACCAAAACGTTGTTTAAAACAGAACTTTTAAGTGGCAGAGTGGTAGAATCAAGACTGAAGACACAAATGCAGATCATCACATACTCAGCGCAGTGAGAAACTCCCAGATAGTCAAAAGCAATGCTGAAGATGCTTAAAAACTAAATTGTGCATGTATCATATTTGGCAAGCAGCACAAACTGGCAAATATTCCAAGGCTAACTCTTCCATCTGAAATAAACAAGTATCAAGATGCTAAGCCTGCCATAATCCCTCCTCTACCACCTCCTTTAATGCCAACTCCAAAACAAACCAACTTTCTAACAATGTCATCTTCCTCCTGCGTGCCTCCAACCCCTGACATAGCTCACCAGCATTTTCTTACAAAACCTCTTTTCTATCTCTTCTGACTTGCCTGCCCTTATTCCACTTTCTCACAGCCCTCCTGGTTACTGCAGCTTGCTGTTCCATGGAACTTAGATCTAGCTAGATAGACATCCCAGTTGCCAAGACATCTGCCCTTTCCCTCAACCCTGACCACATTTCCAATTCTTCTTCTGTATCAAGTTCAAGCTCCTCCTCTCCAGATCCATGTCTAATCCCTCCTGGCCTATGCTGCTAAACCATCTACCAGCACCCCAGTCCCCATGCGGCTCTTTTGGCTCCACCCAGACCACTCTGCCTTCTCCTTTGTCCCCTCCAAATCCCAAGACTCACTCAATGGAGGACACAGACTTTTAATAGGCTCCTTATTCATATCCACCAACTTTTTTCTGCCTCCTGGACTGCTCCAGCTTCAATGCCTATATGACTGTACAACTTCAGCATCAAGCTCCATTTCACCTGCACACTTTAAATTACATTACCCAGAAGAGCAACAAGCCTCCTATTTGACTTTCTGTTTGACTCTGGCTACCCCAGAATGGGATTCTCTACTGCTATATAAAATGATTAGCAACATCACACCAGATGACTGTAAGACTATCAATAGAGTTTGACAGGATTCTTCTTTTCTAGCAACATTATTCTTTGGCACAGAACTGAATTGTTGGTTCCTCCTCATGTTTCAAGTTAAATCAAAACCAAACTTTAATCATGCATGAGAGACATAATTCCTTATGTTCATAACAATAAAAAGTCCACCTTCAAGTTGAAGAAATAATGAGATAAATAGGGCCAGTAACATTCCCAATTTTTACTTACCCACTCTTCAGTGGAATGCTTACATCTACTGATGCTGCAGTCTGCTGAGGTGGATAAATAGGAAACATCTATTGTTCCAAGGGACAAAGCAGTTTCATCCATGACACAGGAATTGAACTGAAGATCACAAACTGCAAAATAATAACATGTTTATATATATGTTATTTTTATATGTATATTCATATATTCATATGCATGCACAGAAACACACACCTAAATTTCAGTGCAATAAATTGGCAAACTGGTATTTTTTCACCCTTCAGTAAAAGTTCAGTTCCAAAGATATCTCCTTGCAGCTGCAAATTGGCATGATCTTAACATGCTAAAACCCCAGCACATTTGACTTCCAAAAACACAGCACACCAACCAGCTTCCTGCACGCTTTTCTCTCCCTGCTCTTCTTCCCATAACAGGTTACTCTAGTCCCCTTGTAATTTTCCACTGTTCTTTACGGCATGGTTTAAACCCTGCAGCCATAAGGATACGCATGTCAGACACTTTCATAAGTTTACTATTCTCTTGCACTCTGACCTTGCTCTTTCATAATTTGCTTCTCAAGGACACCTATGATCTACAAAAACTGTCATTAATGTTCTCACCTATTCCTATCCCACAGTATATTTTATGTGTCTGGTCTAGCTGTAGTCAAACCAGTTTCCAAATTCCTTGGGAAGAAGGAGTGCTCAATTAAAAAGCACCCATCTAAATGTGAACATGCTGCTGATAAGTGACATTTCAGTCTTGTGGGATTAAAGAGCAGTAAGGAAATCTCAACCTGATTAATTATTTTGAAATAGAAGTTTTATGGCTCATACAATGAGCACCGTAAATAATTCTCCCTTGGCCAAAGAAAAAAGGAAGAGCAAACATACTAAAACAACTTAGTGTTATACAGTGTATTTGCAAAAGACTACAAATTAAACTGCTTTGTTTTTGAGAGCCACTGAAATAAGAATCCCAGCATTTTAAAGAGGCAAAACCTCCCCTTCCATCTGTCACTGCAAGGAAACTTCTATCATGGCCAAGCTGTGGGCCATCAGGAAAGATATTGCTCCCACCCAGAATGCTAAGCTAACATCTGCAACAGCAAGATCTAAAACTTTAGTGCAACCTTTTTGCTTTTCCCAGCGCCCTCCCCAAGTTGCCACAAACCCATCCCGTAATCCGGGCACGCAGAGAGCTCCACTACAACCTGGAGTATACACCGAGCCGGTATAACCATGCAGACCATGCATATCCTTGCACAGCCCAAGTACCGAACCCATCCCTTTATCTTTGCTGGCTGTTACATCCAATCCGCCTTTTAGTTGAATTAGTCCTCAGGCAAATTACTATATAACCCTCCCAATAAATAGCCAAAAAAAATGCCTGGAGACCTCAAATGCTGGAACCGAAATGCGTCCCGCTCGTGCTCAAGGTGACCTTGGCTGCACCGGTATACACAAAAGATGAACTTAAAAAAATACGCAATTAAAAGCCCGTTTGAGCAGCACCAGCCGCCGCCGCATACGTACCTGTGAGCCAACCCGCCCCCCGAGCGCCCACTGCG